ACAATGGGGTGCAGATCTAGCAAGAGTGTCGCGGTTCGTCTCGGCACGGCTTACAGGCCGCCGTGCCCGCGCAGGTGACCGCCAGCTCCACCTGTTCCACCTCCGGCGCGGAAGCTCGATCACAAGACTGACCTCAGTCGGCGCTGTGCTCGGCACAGGGCGACCGGGTCAGGAGCGGGCCGCTGCCGCCAGGGCCGCGGCCACCAGCCACGCGGCACCGGCCGCCATCACCCGCTCAGCCGAGATGCGCGCCACGGCGTCATTGGGGCTTCCCTGAGCAGGATCGAACCAGAGCTGCATGCACGGCTCCGTATCCGCCGTGAACTTCCACGAGTGATCCCACACCTGAAAAAGGCGCACGGTTTGCGTCACAGCTCGGCTCACTTTCACAGTCCACGCACCGGCAGCAATTAAGGGCTACTTAGATAGTGTGCTAATAGAGCGCAATCACTTAGCTTAATCCATATAGAGTCAACCATGAATTGTTAATTACGAGCGAGCGAGCGAAGCGAAGTCTTTTCAATATCACGGAAAAAGCTCAGTATGAGCGGCCCGACCCGGCCCGGCCTGTAACGCTTTTGAGAGGCTTACATCTCAGCAACCGCTGGACCGATTGGCCTGCGGTCTTTTTTTTTTGTTGGGTAGTCCTATTCCCTCTACCCCGTAATTGACTACTCTTGATACATTTCAGGGACCGTCGTGGCACGTGCCACGTGAAAAGTCAAGGGTGTTATTTGTCAAAATTGCAAAAGAAGTGATTTTGAGAGGCTCATATCTCAGCAGCCGCTTGGGCGGTCTTGCGGTAAATTTTGTAGGGTAGCTGCACCCCTTCAACCAAAGGTCGGATGCTCTTGATCTATGTGAGTGACCCCCACTGCACGTGCAAAATGCAAAAAGAAGAGGTGCCGAATTTGTTCCCATTTCAATAACTCTGTTATTACTGGGGCGATTTAGCTGAAACTTGGCATACAGGTAGGCAGTAGGCACCCACCAGGCAATGCATTCCCATATGTTGCGGTTAGGGTGCTACTGCACGTGCGCACGTGCAGGGGGGGGGGGCGCTTCCAGATCTCGAGAACGGCTGGGCCGATTGCGTTCAAATTTGGACGTAAAATAAAGGACGCTTGAATCTTACCTGAGTGATGTCCATTTCTTGATCACTTTCATCTGTGGATGACCGAGCAGCGACAGCAACCCAAGGCGTATACGGAATCTGTAAAAAATCAGCACACCGTTACCACATGTTTTAATAAAACTTACCTATAGGGAGGTAGCATACGAGTTAAAATACTGATCAAAACAATAACATACAAACATACAGATATTCGGTTAGGTTGAAATGGCTAAAAAATATAAAAAATAAGGGGAAGGTACTAGGGCTGTAAAGCTGAAAGGGCTCGGTACTAGTAATAATTTTTGGCTAAAAATATCACAAATAAAGACTCTGCACTAAAGCTGTAATGTCTGGTACTAGGAATAACTTTAGAGTAGTGTTATAAAAACAATATTCAGAGTCTTTTGATAATTTTTTTTCTAAAACAATATAGCAGGCATTTTCATTACTTCTAAAAAATAACTTACATTCTGATCCGGCACAGCACTGTTCTTTAGACACAAACGTTTTTGACTGTGCTTATCATGGTGCGCACTTCTTGTTAAGTTTAAGTGGTCATGTGGTCTTGGCTCATTGGTCATGCCACACACCCTCATCCACTTTTCTCTGTACTTCTTTTTTTAGCGGGAACCTAAAAGTAAAAAAAGGGTCAACACATGCTTAGTCCATGCAACACATACTTTGTGTATTAAGCTGAATAGTTCCACTGAGCCCAGTTTCACCAAGTGCGGTAAACTTAATTTTGGGGTAGTTTTTGTAGTTAAGTAGTGGGGTAGTTTGGTAGTTTACCCCAAATTGAGTTTACCGCACTTGGTGAAACTGGGCTCTGGTGAGTTTCCTTTTCTTGTCAGCACATAAGTGAAAGAAAACTGTGTAGACAAGAGATAAACCAAACCCCCATGGAAAGGTAGGTGTTACCACAACCAGGAAATGGGATTTGAAGGGATGGATAAATGTGTCTGAGTTCTACCTTTCAGGCAGACTGGAAAACATCCATACACTACGCCGGACGCCCGTGAGCCCCTCATGCGCCAAAATTTGAAGCAAGCAATTTTGAGCTGAAATTCCAGTGCATGATTTCCACTGGAAGTTGGGTGCCTGTTTGCACCAAAATTAAGCCACTTTTACATAAAGCACATGTGCATATCTACCGACCAAGGCTATATCAACCAGACAGATCGTTCCGGGGCCTCAGAGTCAGACGCTATTCCCTTTCTGAGCGTCTGAATTAGTTAATGTTCCCATGAAAACCCAATACCACAATATGTGTGGCACACTGTGAAACAAGGCCCAGGCCAGAAGTTCCGACTCTCTTCAGACCTGCCAGCACCCGCAGGGCAAGTCTGCTGCTAGATTGACCATAGCGTGTCAAAAAATTCGGTGACAGCCATTTGCATGAACATTATGCGCCATGCGGTCACCCTGCGCCTAAAAATTCAGCTGCCACCATGCGCTGAATTTGACGCATGCAAAATTATGCTGGATGTGCGATGAAATTTTCGGGGCAATGCCGCAATCACGCCACTTCGCCTGACATATTCGGCACAACTTGTTTTTTTATCCAGTCTGGCATTTCAGTTGTGAAAGCCTGAACAGTTCAAAAGGATTTGCTAATCCAGGGGAGAGTTCTGTGAAAACAAAAGTAATAGAAGAGCCATTGCAATAAATAAGAATTTAGGTACCTAGGTACCTACTTACTTGTGCACAGTCACACGCATATCAGTCCCGACCCGACGTAGGTCGTTTGCTCCGCGGATCACACACTTCTTCATCGTTATTATAGGTATTTGTTCGAACAAAAATGCCCTGATTTCGGATCAGAGCCACGGTATAAAATATGATAAAGATAAAAGATACATTTGCGTAAGATAAAAATACATTTTAGCAATTGGCTACCAAACGAGATGTCATCTGTTCAGGGCATAGCATAGGTTTACTTTCATAGACCTCATGAAAGTAGCTCATGAAACTCATCACCAATCAGCGCGACGGATTTCAAGATTCGATTGCGGATGTTCATCCGCCGGCCGATTGCCAGAACAGACAACGAAAAATAACGCAACTGCTCATGGTCTGCTCGCTAGTACAGGGATCCGTGCCTGATCAGTACTGCTGCAAGCTGATTGGTTAAAAACCAAAGCCTCGCCGCGGGTGGCTGTATTGTCGGATAAGAACGCATTCCTGGGATAAGGACGCATTCCTGGCATATTTTCTTTTAAAATTGCCGATAACTTCGAATGGAGGCCGAAATCGGCCGTAAGAGGGTAGGCAAATAGGTTTTCGGACACGGGCTACAAGATGGCTATCTCAGTTTAAATCCCCATGTTAAAGGTGGCCCTTTTCCTTTAAGTACATGTTTTTAGTAGTTCGTGATGAGAGCTTTCGATTGGCGTTTGAATTTTCCAAATCGGACCATTAGTTCGGGAGATAACAGGGGGGGGTAAAATTTACCCCCCCCAGCCCCGCGCGTTCGGCTGGAGACCCCAGCCCCGCGCGGGTTAAGTAAGCAAATAATATTGATTTGTTTGAAAAAAACAATGTCATTTAAATATTTAAAAGTATTTATTTGTAATGCTTAAAGGGAAACATTTTTGTGAGTAATTGTCTCGATTTTGACCATTAAAACGGGTATTGTATTTTTTGACGTCATCAAATAGCTCCAAAAAAGAAATGTAATGTTTTCATTCCGTTCAAGGCCGCTGAAGAAACGCGGGATCTTGCGTGGGACATTGTCCGTTGTTAGCCGTGCAGAGTTGTGCCGTGGTTGTGCCTTTTTCATCCGTTTATTACTTATGTCATATGTGTGCATGAAGCTTTGATTTTGTTTTTGGTTATTGTGTGGCCGGTCAGTCAAACGCCCCTGTAGAAACCGGATGCTGCGTTTGATCGAGATGGAGTCCTGTCAGACGATGATTGCAGAAAGCTAATAATATTGAAAAGAGGGCCGGTTGCGTGGCATGTCTGTTCAGAGTTGACATTTTGCTTTACTCCAGTTTATGACCTGAGAGCCTGGCTGGAAGTGACGGATCCAAACTTTTCACGTTAAAATGGCTGAAGGTGCAATAATGTGTAGTCTGTTCTCTACATAGCGGGCTGGTATAGGAGCGTCTTGCTATGCTGCACCATAGCTGGCTAGTGATTTTCTTTTGGCTAGAAATGGTGTTATAGTTTGCCGCCCTTGCGCGCTGTCCCGCCACCCTGCGGTTGTGTGTCTGGCGCCGCCACTGTGCTGTGCACCGTCCGCGCTCACCGCCGCGGTGCACCTGGCGCCGCCGCTGTCCACTGTGCACTGTCACGTGACCGCCTGCGGCGGTAGGGTGAATTCCGTGGTGTCTGAGACGAATACAGCCAGTTGGAACCGAGGCACGTCGACTATTACATTGGCGACGAGACGTCCCGGACAGCGAGTATGGCGGGGCGTGTGCCGGACTTCGACGGGACCGTGGAGGATTTTAGTGCGTACGCGAGGCGGCTGCAGCAATATTTTGTGTCGAATGACGTGAGTGATAGCATTAAAAAACGTGCGGTGTTTTTGTGTGCGATCGGTGCAAAGACATTCGGCCTTCTGGAGGACTTGATCGCACCGGCGTCAGTGGAAGAGAGGACTTATGAGGAGCTAGTGGCCGTGCTTAAGCAGCATTTTGAGCCTGGCACCTCGACGATCGTAGCACGTTTCCGTTTCCATACGTGCGTGCGCGAAGAAACCGAGTCCGTGAGTGGTTTCCTGGCGCGACTTCGGAAACTGGCGAAGCCTTGTCGGTTTCCTTCGGAGCTTCTAGACGAGCTACTTCGAGATCGTCTCGTCTGTGGAATTCGTCACGAGCAGCTGCAGTCCCGGCTGTTGAGCGAACCGCAGCTGACTCTGCAGTCGGCGGTGGGGCTAGCGATGGCTCAGGAGTCTGCTGCTACCAGTGCGGCGGAGCTGAGCTCTACTCTGGCGGCAGAGTCCGCCGGTGAGTCAGCTGTTCATCGTGTTGGCGGATCGGAGCTGCCGGCCCAGACACTGCAGGCGCGGCGGCGGCAGGCTGCCGGCCGGGACGGTGGTGGTGGCGGTGGCCGGGGCCGGCCCGCTGGATCCTGCAGCCGCTGTCTGCGCCGCCACCGTCCGGAGTCGTGTCCCTTCCGCACAAAGCAGTGCTTTCGATGCGGTCAGTTGGGACACATCCGGGCGGTCTGTGCCAGATGGAGTCAGCCGCAGCATCTACGTCAGCTAGAAGAGGACGACAGCGGTGCGGTGGCGACCACTGAGACCCGGTCCGGTGGCGAGGACCCGCCGGGTGAGTCCGTCGCTCTGGTGGACAGCGAGGTGTATGCCCTGTTCAACCTGCGTCCGGAGGCGGTGAAGCGGCGCCCGCCGCTGCTGGTGGACCTCGCGCTGGACGGACGGCCGGTGAAGATGGAGGTGGACACGGGGGCAGCTGTCTCCGTCTGTTCTGCTGCCGGCTTCAGACGTCTGTGGCCCGACCACGGGCCCGATCTGCTGCCCTGCTCTGTACACCTGAAGACCTACAGCGAGGAGGCACTCTCCGTGCTGGGCCAGGTGTTGGTGGACGTGGACTACGCTGGTCGGGTGGTCCGTCTACCTCTCGTCGTGGTCGACGGAGCCGGACCGCTCCTGCTCGGACGGAACTGGCTGGACCACATCCGGCTGGACTGGCCGGCCATCTGCCGGGTCCAGGAGCAGGCTCGGGTGGATGGCATCCTGGAGGAGTTCCCGGAAGTTTTCCAAGATGGGCTGGGGTGCTACACCGGAGGAGAGGTCAACATCGAGGTCGACCCTGACGTCCAGCCGCGCTTTTTTAAGCCGCGCACCGTTCCACTGGCCTACCGTGAAGAGGTCGACGCCCAGCTGGAGCAGGGGATCAGAGACGGTCTCTGGGAACCTGTTCGACACAGTAAGTGGGCGGCACCTCTAGTAGTAGTGCCCAAGGATGGGGGGAAATCTGTGCGGATTTGTGGCGATTATCGTCTCACAATAAACAAAGCAGCTAAAGTTGAGCAGTACCCCTTGCCCCGAATTGAGGAGCTGTGTTCTAAGATGGCAGGCTGTACAGTTTTCTCTAAGATAGACTTGAAAAGCGCATATAACCAGCTAGTGCTCGACCAGCGCTCACGTGAATATCTCACGGTGAACACCACAAAGGGCTTGCTGCGGCCTTGTCGGCTGGGTTTTGGGTATGCTAGCGCTGTGTCTTTGTTTCAACGCACTATGGAGTCAGTGTTGGCTGGCATCCCCGGGGTCGGTCTGTTTTTAGACGACATAGTGTGTGCGGGTCGTGATCAGGAGGCGCATGACGCTAGCCTCCGTCAGGTACTGCAGCGACTGCAGGAGGCTGGTTTCCGTGTCAACAGAGCAAAGTGCAGCTTCTCTGTAAGCGAGATCACGTACTTAGGTTTTAGACTCAGCAGCAGGGGCGTGGAGACCTCTACAGACAAAGTAGACGCCATACTGAAAGCTCCTGATCCACAAAACATCAAGGAGCTTCGTATGTGGCTGGGCCTCATTAACTACTACGGCCGGTTCCTCCAGAACCTGGCTACCTGTTTAGCCCCTTTGTATCAGCTGTTGCGTACGGGTCAGGCATGGAAGTGGACGGATGTGGAGAGCGCTGCTTTCGCAAAGGCTAAGGCGTTGTTGGTGAGACCTCCCGTTTTGGCCCACTTTGACCCGGCCCTGCCGGTCATTGTAGCGTGCGACGCGGGGCCCCGCGCGGTCGGTTGTGTGCTCAGTCAGCGAACCAGGGAGGGGGAGAGGCCCGTAGCATTTTATTCACGAACGCTGAACGATACGGAGACACGATATTCACAAACAGATCGCGAGGCTCTGGCGGTGATCACGGAGGTGAAAAAGTGGCATTATTACCTAGCCGGGCGGGCATTCACCATACAAACGGATCACAAACCCCTGCTGGGTATCATCGGTGAACAGAGGGCGCTGCCTGTGATGGCATCTCCCCGCATGGTGCGCTGGGCTCTCATGCTCGGGGCCTATGACTATAGGTTAGAGTACCGGCCTGGTTCGAAGCAGGTTCACTGCGATGCGCTGAGCCGCTTACCTGCTGTGAACCCGGCGCCCGAGACCGTTCCCCGGCCGGCTGAGTCGCTGCATCTGATGGAGTTTTTGGACTCCTCCCCGGTGAGTGTCGCTCAGATCCGTCGGTGGACCAGCGTGGACCCGGTTCTCTCACAGGTGTATCGGTTCGTGCGTGACGGCTGGCCGTCCACCGGCGGGATCCTCGGTCCGGAATTCCAACCGTATAAGTCCCGTATCGGCGAGTTGAGCGTTGAAGATGGGTGCATTCTGTGGGGAGCGCGGGTGGTAGTGCCGCCCCAGGGCCGAGCGGATGTGCTGAGACTTTTGCACGAGGGTCACCCGGGGGAAACGCGCACCAAAATGTTGGCTCGAATGTATCTATGGTGGCCGCGCTTGGATGAGGATATCGGGGACGTGGTGGGAGCGTGTAGCAGGTGTCAGGAGCTCAAAAACAGTTCGCCTGACGTTCCTCTTCATCCCTGGGTTTGGCCGACCCGTCCCTGGCAGAGAGTTCATATGGACTACTGCAGCATGAACGGAACTCTTTTTCTGGTTTTGGTTTGTGCTCATTCAAAGTGGATGGATGTTTATCCCACACACTCATCAGACACTGTTACGACGATTGAGAAGCTTCGTATATCGTTTGCAGCTTGGGGAATACCACAGGTACTGGTGACTGACAACGCTCAGGCGTTCGTGTCAAAAGAATTTGCTTCTTTTTGCAGAGTCAATGGTATCCGCCACCTGACTACGCCCTGTCTGTCCCCGAAATCCAACGGTGCGGCCGAGAAAGCGGTAGATATTCTAAAAAGAGGTTTATATAAACAGAGAGCTGGATCAGTACAGACCAAAGTGTCACGCTTCCTTTTTCGGTACCGAACGACACCTCAGAGTACCACTCAGTGTACCCCCGCTGAGCTGTTTTTGGGCCGGGTCCCTCGCACGCATTTGGATGCTTTGCTTCCAGGCAGAGAGGATAGAGTGCGGATGCGGCAGGAGGCTCAGAAGGCGTACAAAGACCGCGGGTGTCAGGACCGCCATGTGTCTGTCGGTGACAAGGTGTGGGTTTCATCTGTGGAGAATCTTAGGGGTCTCGGTAAATGTCGCTGGGTCCCTGGTCACGTCGTATGTCGCGATGGTTTAAAGCTGACTGTTGAGCTGACAGATAGGCGGCTTGTTGTCAGACATGCTGATAAGGTTCGGAAGCGTCACTGTGACGTGCCTTCGGTGCCTAACGAGCGACCTCTCCCCCAGGAGACGTCCCCGCCGGCACCTCCGGAGGAGCCCGTAGATCGGGAGCCGCCTGAGGCCGCGGCGGTGCGGCTGCGGGACCGGTCACCAGTCGCTCCGCTGCCGGCTGCTGATCTGCCCAGGCCGTCCGAGGCCGGCGACGGTGATTCGTCGGTGAGCCGGGACCCCAGCCGCGCCGTCGTGTCGCCGCGATATCGTCTGCGGGACCGAACCCGTATACCGCGGCCCGATCGGCTCGTGTATGAGTGACCATTGTTTATTCGTGTTGGTGTCATCCGTGATATCTGCGTTGTGAACAGAAGTGTGTTACGTCTTTGTTAGCCGTGGTGGAGGGATGTTATAGTTTGCCGCCCTTGCGCGCTGTCCCGCCACCCTGCGGTTGTGTGTCTGGCGCCGCCACTGTGCTGTGCACCGTCCGCGCTCACCGCCGCGGTGCACCTGGCGCCGCCGCTGTCCACTGTGCACTGTCACGTGACCGCCTGCGGCGGTAGGGTGAATTCCGTGGTGTCTGAGACGAATACAGCCAGTTGGAACCGAGGCACGTCGACTATTACAAATGGCATAAATCATTATCTCCACTGGCGAAAATGGCACTTGACATCACCGAATACAACGTTCATGTTGTTAGGATACATAAAATCAGGAAGATTACGCGAATTAGGTAAGCAAACGTGGAATAAGATAGGTGCTGGATGTTTTGGTTTTGGTGCTGAATCAGCAAAAAGCAAATACGGAGTTCAACTAGACGATTTGGCAACTTTAGGCTGTGTGGAAGCATTTAGGTGCCAGATTCAGATATTAGGGTCGAATAAGCATTTTGGGGCTGATCAGCAATTAGGTGCCAGAAACAGCTTTTTAGGGACCAGAAACAAACATTCCCCCTTTATTACATATATGAACCCACCCGCACTGAATGGATGGTGCTTCCTACCTGAAGAGAAACAATGTATTTTTTTTCTTCAATTTCCGTTGTTTAGTGTGGGAAGTTTTCAAATCATCGATGGATAATTGTTCGTCAAGCACATATTTTGCTATTTGGGGTCACTGCTGCCAGGTCAGGTCACAGAGGTCAGGTCACTGAGGGTCACAATATGAAAGTGTCGTGTGAAACATGTTTTATGGTCCATTTTACATGACAAATGCGATTATGTTGGTCAGGCAGCCTTTGTGGCCAGTTTAGGTTATGTTCTGACTTCTGGTGAAGGTCAGGTCAAATTAGGTCAAATTTCAAAGCTGATATTTTTGCATAAAATGGGTATCGTTTCGATGCAGCTCTCGTCATGAGGAGTCTAATGGTGGTCCTTTGTTTTGCGCTACGTGGTGTAGAATTGCTAAAAATTAATTTTGAAAACTTGACTTCATCATTTTGAACAGTTTTTTTTTCTCGCTATAACTTGGCCAAAAAGAGACATCGATCTCAAATTTGTTATGTGGATAGGAGACGGTCATAGGCGCGGGAGCCGGGGGGGGGGGCTGTGGGGGCAGCTTGCCCCCCCCCCAACTCTGGGGCCGTGGGGGCGGTTCCCCCACAGCTTTGAGGCGGAATACCACACTTTTTTTGCAAATGTTTTCTTTTTTTGTTGAAAAAGCCGAGGGGTGAAAAATAAGTGGCCTAAAACCGGTGGGAAAACTAGATTTGGGGGTACCCTAGGTTGACCTCTATTATGGTGTGCCCCCCCAGTCGGAAAGTAGTTCCCGCGCCCCTGGAGACGGTAGAGACTATTATATATATTCCGTTGTTTTCGAAATTACATAGTCAAACATTTGGGATTTTTTGGCTATTTTATCCAAAAAATTACTTTTTTGATTTTTTTGGGTCAAAATCCAAAAATAAACATAAAAATCCGATATAGCAGTTTATAGTCCTACCAACCCTAAATCGTTTACCTATGTCAAAAACATTTTTCTGTATATCTTCAAAGCTGCAGGCCTGACAGTTCTTCCCGCCAAACCTTTTTTGGGTCGAAAATGGCAGAACACGACGTCATTCTGACATCATTCGTGGCCAACCTATCATAGCCTCTGGAAAAATATTTGGTCACTTTATGTAAAATTGATGCCCGGAGTGGTCCTCAAAGTTTAGTGACGATATCTGCAGTCGTTTAGGAGATATCTACGGAAAATGACGGGGGCCGTTTAGCCCCCTCCCCCTACGGGGCGCGGGTTAAAAGTGACATTTTTGCTTTGAGGCTGATTTTTTCGTAACTTATTCGAAAAGATGCATCAACAGGCGTGCCGCTAAACTATTTGCGGGAGGCCTGGCCGCCTGAGGGACAATGATTATCATTTTATGTTGACAAATGCAGCGTGACTGAGCATTCATAATGTTTGTAGCGTCACACGCTACGTGATACGTCATATTTTTAAACACTGATGGAAGGGTTCTTGTATTTCATTAAAACAGCTGCCTTGGCGAAAAATAACCGATTATAATTTGTCGTAACACGAATTATATTTATTTTTCTTCATCCAAGGCGTGTTTTTGACGAAATTCTGGAAGATGATGATAGCTTTTTCATACACGTCACGTGCGTTGATAGCCTAACAAGATGCGTAAATGCGCCCAAAATATTGTGCATTGGGTTCCGGCTTGGTTCCGGCTGTTTACCGTTAAATTCTACGTGCCTTATTATCATGTCAACATGGAGCTCCCGTTTACGATAAACATACAGGTGTTAAACGTATATTTAGACACCAATTCAAGTATGCAAGTCAGCAACCTAAATCTGCTTAGTACGCATGGACAAGTCTGATGATGAAGAAAAATCGACTGGTGTGACAGATGGCAATGATGAAACTGAACACAAGCAGGAGGCAGGTGAAAGTCATGACAGTGATGAGGAGCTTCCGTCCGAAGAAGCTGACTTTATTGCGCTGCCTGCTCGCACAAGCCTCGTTAGATACTTTGTTATGGTTACGGTAGCAATTACTTGGATATCATTTATCATCGCGTGTGGAGTAACGACATATCTTGGAGTTATATCGAAACCCATATTGGATCCAAGCCGTTTCTTCTACGCCGGCTGCTACATTGGAATGACTTCGTGCATTGTTGGATTTGGAGGCGCCGAGGACATTCATAAACAAACTCTTTGGATATATTGTGCTCTGCTGTCTTTGGCGTTGTGCTTGACATTGTGTGGCATCATCGGTACTGGAGGTGTGATACTTCATGGAGCTCTGGACAATGACACATCAGTGTGGACGGTCGATCCCGAAAGGTTTCGACGGTCATTTATTGTTTCCTACAATGAAACGTATTTTGATGGATACGTCCCAAATATCCGCCATCAAAAGAAGAAATCAGGATTAACATCTCTCATAACCTCACGGAAGGCGGCGGCGATAGATTATGACCATCGAATGTGGAAGCAATTCAGTGATCCAACGGTTCTCACCAATATGACCGTAACTCTTATAGTGTTCGAGGTTATATCGTTAATACTTGGTCTTTGTCTTCTCAAATTTTCTGGTGATCAGTGGTGGATTCTTTGGCGAATAGACATGTAAATAGCACTACTGTGTCAAGTTTCAAACGGTTACAAATGAACGAAGCCTTCCTAATACCTGTGCAGTGTATATAGCCCCAAGTTGAAAACGCGACGATTGATTGCATTGCATTGCTGGACTGAAAAATGATGATCAGAGAATTGCTACAAAATGTGAGTACCTCCACTGACGTGTTAGATCACCATTATTACTTTATACCATGCGATAGTTGCTGCCCTTTGCCTTTTTTCTTAAAATTTATCGTCATTCTGTTCCTCAGCCTAAAAGATGCAAATTGTACGACCATTTTCTGTCCCATAGCTCAGTTGGTAAAGGAGAAGATCACTGGTGGTGAGAACTGAGAGCCCGGGTTTGAGTTGCTCCGGTGCTCAACATTTGAGATTCGTGACAGGGATGGTCTGCTGTTGGTGGGAGTAGCCGCAGCGCAGCCGGTTCAAGTCATTTCATTGCGACGCGAAGTGCGACGGACCGTGTCTTGCTTTGACGAGCACGCTGTAGACTTCGGCGTCTAAAATTTACAGATAACCAAAGATTACCATTCGGGCAGTAGGGGTTGGAACCTGCGGAACAAGCTCTGCTTAGCGCTGGCACCGGCTCTGTCAATCCGTCCATTTAAACATCCTAGCTAAGTGTGTTAAAGGATTGCCACATAACCTGTTATTTTACCTTCTTACCATGTTCTAGACATTGTTTCTGTTGAAAGTGATGTTTTGTCCGTGTCATACGGACATACATATGTGCATACCTCATATGGCGGTTCATAACGAAAAGTGCCCTCTGGTCAGAGCATTCTAATTTGGCACAATCGCACGGGAATCACACATCGATATCGTATTCTCATGAGAGCGACTGTATGCACCTAAACCTCTAAGCCAACCCAGCTTCACAATCGTTGACTTTCATTATTTCCTTTATTAGGTTAGACCCTTTCCCTCTACTTAGACCAGTAACGGACCGTGGATTAGGAGAATAGAAGCATCTGAGACATTGGGCTGAGTCGACTACCGACAGGTGTACCGTATTTACTGAGCCCGCCCTGTTTGGCCGGTTGTGTTGAGACAGGACCAGTCACGCAAGCGGACACCCCGGACCCCGCAGGGGTGCAGCTCTATTAGAGTTATAGCCTTTCTACGGTTTTCGATTGTGATCTCAGCCCGCGTTACGTTGCGTAATCAGGATTATGGGTCGACTCCTGAATCCACTTCACTATACTGAAAGAGGCAATGGAAGCGATGCATCAATGCGTTTTAGCAATCCTCAATGTCGAATTGTGACAGTCGAATCAAAGCTGATATGCCCGTAAGCAAAGTAACTTCCTTTTAACCCTATTAGTGGCAGGCTCCTGGCTACCCCTATTAGTGGCAGGGGGGGGGCTGTTTATGACCCCCCCCTGATATCTCGAGATCTATCTCGAGATTTTCAAAATTCAAACGGCATTCGATTTCGCTCAACGTGATCTATATTTCTAAAAATAAAAATTAAAAAATGTCAATAGGGGGGTAGAGGGGGGGGGGGGGGGGTAAAAACGGGCAAATTGCAGATACATTTTAGACTGTTTATCACGGCCAGGTTTCTGAACCAATCTTAACCCGCGCCCCACTGGGGTCTGCGTATAACACGCCCTACTGGGGGGGGGGGCTATTCATAGCCCCCCCCTCCTAACTCCGAAACTACTGGGCCGATTGTCAAAATTCAAACGGCGTCTGATAGCCCCGGAAAAACTGTCGAGCGAAACCTAATTTCATTGACCTCGAGGTCACCGATGACGTCACAGGTCAGGTCAAAGTAAAAATTATTAGCATTTTGGCTTGATCACGTTTTGGGCTCTGGCCGCCGTCTTACAAGTCAGACCAGGCTCATTTTTGGATCACACACTCGGGAACAGATGCTCTAGTTACCCTGAGGGTACCAAACTTGTACTTTGATTTTCAGGTCAAGGTCAGGTCATCACAGGTCACGAAAATATTATATCATGCGTCGGTCACGTGACACATGTTTTATGGTCCATTTAGGTCAGAGATTTCGAATTTGATGTCGTCTGTGTTATTCGAGGTCATTTTGAGTCGAATTTAGCTTATGTTAGGTCACTTTCAGGTCAAAAAAGGTCAAATTTTGAAGTTAAAATTTTTTAACAAAAAAGGTGTCTATTGGATGCAGTTTGATCTCAGGAACACGATGGTGCTATTTATATTGGCGTACGATGTCAAATACGTGCTGAAAAATTGATTTGAAAAATTAATAATTGTGAATTTTTTGCAATAATGCGTAAAACTTGGCCATTTTTGAAGATATTTAGCTAAAACTTGCTAGAGTTAGTCAAAATAATGCGTTCTATCACATATATTCCGGTTTTTTCGAAAAGTCAGAAACTTTTTGAAAAAAATGTGAAAATATAAATTTTGGATATTATTATATAAAATTTTCGGAATTTTCAAAATTTCGAAAATCCGAGATAGCAGTTTGATAGCGCAGTCTATTCTGAGTCCTCTCATGCAAAGAAATTGGATCTAGCTTAAAAACTGAGCTCTTGGGAGCGATTGCCGTGGTTCAATGTTTTGCGTCGAAATCGGCCGAACATGACGTCACTCTGACGTCATTTCCGGCCGACCTATAGTAGGTACGAAGTTCAAATTTTGACACAAGGTGTCAAATTGATGCAGCCTAAGGTACTGAAAGTTTGGCGTCGATACGACAAGCGGTTTGGAAGTTATTGCAGAAAAACGGGAGGGGGGGCTATAAATAGCCCCCCCAGTGGGGCGCGGGTTTTAACGCAACTTTTGCCGATCGATAGAGAATGAACCAGGAATTCACATGGATCCTAAAAATATGAATTTTCAAAAATCATAGGCGGATACAGATCATTGAGATTGGGGGTACACAAAAAGTATAGTAAATAAGGTTTTTGTTGGTACTGTTTCTAAAAAGGGTGGTAATAGTCTTGTTATGTTACAATTTTCTTATGAGAGAACGACTGCAATTGTATTGGTCATGCATAGGCGGTGTCAGGGCACCTATGTTGGGAGGTAGAACATAACCCCCCTTTTTGGACGCCTGGATCCGCCTATTATAGCAAAAACGTGTCAAAAGAGGATGCACAATAACTTTGTATATGTTATCACATGATACCTTTCATTCACTGTTCGTAAAACTGGTGCATACAGTTATAATACATCAGCATCGTGATCTTCGCCCAAATGACTCGCTTCACGAATAGGACCCCCCAATTCCCAGTGCTCTGGAGCCGCCCCTGGTAAAGTTATGAGCTTGAAATTTTCAGGGAATGTGCCCAATTTAGTTTTAGGAAAAGTCAGAAAATTTCAGCATCGTAGCTTCAGCGGTTTCGGAGATATTCCCGAAAAACCTGAGGGGTGGATGAAAACAACCCCCCTGCCACTAATAGGGTTAATATTCAGTGGGAATGTTCTTCAACTGACAACTGATACTGCCGCTGCATAACATCTGACAAGTGCTAATGCCTGTTTCTTAGCGGACATGACTGATGAACTGCGAAGTGGCGCTAACCGCTTGTGACAACGGATGCTGACTCTGATATCACATAGTCTCTACCCGTTTTCCTGAATATTGTCGCATCTTCTGGTGGTTTAGGTTGCTCAGCTTCTGAACTGAACAGTCGCCAGTCAATCGTCCATACCGAATGATATCGCCGGTGTCCGAGGCAACCGGCCGACTTCATAGCCGTGTATTGCGGTACAGCATGTATCAGGCGCTCCACTGCCCTGCCATCTATCGGCCATGGAAATAACATACGCGTAGTCGGTCCTGCAAGAGTTGGTGCGGAGTAATGAGAGGAAGGTAATGTGAACCCGCGTTACTCTATGACGGGCTCTTATGCCGCTATTTACATAAAATTCTGATCTTATATCAAAGTAATCCTACGATTCTGCAAGCCTACAGAGTACTACGGCTGACTAGCGGCTCCCCATAGCATTCATCGAGCTGGAAGACGACAGAAGAACAGTGTGAACTGTGAGAAAACCAAATCATTTTTTTAGACGGCCAGTGGGCTGCCGCCTTTCATCGATCCAAATCCAAGATAATTACCTTCCTGTGTAATAGCTGGAGGCTAGCCTCCAGTTCGCGTTTGCTTATCTTCTCCAATAGAGTGACAAAAGAACCTCGTGTCGTGTCCAATATCAATAAGTAGTAACTATAAATTGGGCTATCTGAGCTTGAGGACCGACGATAGGACTTTTTAACCCATTTATGCCCAGGAATATTGACCATCATGAAAATCGATGAAATCAAGATATGTTACGCTTCTACCAGGGCCTTGCATGGAATCGAAAATAATTTTTGCCGGCAGCAAAAGTTTTTCGAGAAAAACGTAAAAAACGTGCGTTGCGAAATCGCAACGAAGGGCACACCGGGCGCCATCAGCGTTGCGAAAACGCAACGACGGGCACATCAGACGGACATAAAGTACACTAAACCGCCGTATAGGGGAAAGTGGGGTAAGACGGTCAGGGTAGGTAAGACGGGCACCCCTTCTGCAGACCAAACCAATAGCGCTACGAGCAAGAAAAGTTAGGACCAGAATTGCCTTTCCCACTACACACCACCATTCAAGTCTGGTGAATTTGTGTTCAGTCGATAATCTTTTATTTTGATTTCTTTAAAACACTCATTTCATTGAAAACATCCATAATGTATTGTGCAAGCTTTTGTGTACAGCACTATAGAGTTAAAAACTCGCAATCACTTGTGGTACACTCATATGCCAACAGTGTTCATTTACGGCGGATTTGCTTTGTCTGCATCAAATTGTCCACAGCGAAAAATCGTGCTGAACTTCTGACATTGAGTTTGGGGTAAGACGGGCAACTATGAACCCAATGGGTCTGTAATGGTGAAAATATTTTTGTTGCTGTAGGAAAAAAGAAGCATTTCTAATAAGAATATGTTCGATTCCGATACTCACAGACATGTTAGCAATATTCCTTCGGCACAGTTTATTCTCGAATAATGAATGTGAAAAACGGTTCTACATGGCTTCTGAACTAGGGCCTATATAGGAGCATACGCCTTCTGCACGAATCTCGTATACTGCCATTTCCGAAGCACTTGAGACCAACGAGCGACTGTATAAATGCGGCTAATCTCGGGCATTTGTTGCGAGCTGCGCTGATCGGTG